ACCGCTTATAATGTGCACATGAACCTTTGACAGATCCCCGAGAACAGTACCATCAGTGAAATCCACTGCGACGACAGACGAAAAATGTGTTAAATCAGGCCATCGCGGAAGTCCATCAAAACTAGTAGGACGCTGAGTCAGAAGTAGCAACAATGTATCATGGTAATCACAATACATACTTTTTGTCGAGTTTGACAGCTGCATCGCGCCCGAGGTCTGAAATCCAAAACTTAACTTCCTTCCACAAATGATCGCCCCATAACCCTTCCTCATTTGTGTGAAGGCGGTCGAAAGAAAGTGCACGATGAACGTCGACGTGACGAACTCTCGAAAAGACATTCTAACAATTGAATTACATCAGTATTTGATAGATATCACAGCAGGAACTGCATACCTCAACATTTCGGAGCGAGAAAGCCTTGAGATGAGCCTCTTTTTCCTTCTCAGAAGGCTTCAATCTTGCAGTGCGAAGTACATCTTCAGATTGGTGGCGTGTGCGAAACTCGTGGGTAGCAAGAACGGACTGCTCGTCTTGCGGAACCAAGCAAACTGGACACGGGAATTTTCCCTTAAGTCCACGGATCAACGCCATGATACATCTACAATTTATACATAAGCCTCACAATAGTAAATGCATGTGGTACTTACTGTTCTTCATAATCAGCGCTTAAGATCAAAATAACAGGCCAGAGACGACGTTGGATTCCATCTCCACACTCAAACCAATAACCCGTATTCGAGTGCTGCGCAACTGAGGCAAGAAGCTGGTAAAATGACGTGTGCCAGACAGCATTTTTGAAGTCGACGTAGTTCTTCTTTTTCGCATGTTCCTGATTCTCGACAATCTAAATCAATACGGCAGTTAGCAATACTAATACTAACCCAACAAGCTTGTCAATGCAACTGACAATGGGCAGCCAACCGACGACGCGACCACCTCCCAAGGCAGTATTGTTGTTGCGAATGTGAACAGGTAGGTTGGCAATACGCGCAATAATTGGGTAGCCCTTTTGGGTCCCGAATGACGATAGTTTACTCTTGTCGGCATAAAGAATGTATGCCAGTGGTTTCGCATCTGAGGGAAGCTGGGACTAGTACAGTTACAACGGTTTGACATTGTACTATTAATTTAAAACAACAATAAAACAAGATTTGAAACATACTTGTGCATTCCAAAATGCATCAGCAGTCCATGGTTCGTCAATGAAACGTACAAACCTCTCTCCGTCGAATTTCGAGAGACGTTGAGCATCGAATACGAAATGAGGCGCGAGATATTTGTCTCGCAATAAATCGAGTCCCCAATCCCAGAGAGGGCGGTAATGCATCTCGAATTCGTGCACCTCACTGTCAAATGGAACAGACACTGTATCATTCTGAAACTGCGCACTGATAATCAGTTTATTATCATGTTAGTATTAGTACATGAGACAATACTCACTCTGGTATAACGTTGCGAAGCAAGGTTCCATAGGGAGCGAACCTCATCGTGATTTTGCAGCGTGAACTTATCATTGCCGCTAGCAGATCGGTGCACGAGATCCAGAAGGCGATTGGTTTGATCCTTCGTCATCGCAGCTTCAAGTGCAATCTCTGCTATTTCGAAGTCTAGCCGCGTGCGGAAGGGTTCCCAAGGTGTATTGTTACGAGGCACAGTATGTTCTGTCATGCGGCTGCGGGTGAACTCAGAGAAGTGATGTACAGTGGAAGAAATTTGGCTGTGAGGATGATACTCGACTTTAATATCATCGAGCTCAGGATTGGGCTTGTTGGGACCAGGATCAGGCTCATTGGAACCAGGATCGGGCTCGTTGGGAGCAAAATCGGCCTCGTGAAAGTCAGGTAAGGCTGCGTCATGGTCCACTGGTGGGTATTGTCGAGGCGATGACCCTTGCATCTCTGATATTGACAGTCTCAGTACATAATCAATCTAATTAAATTGAACATACCAACATCTGGATCTGGATCTGCCCAGATCGCAGTAGCGCTCACTGTATTGCGATGAGAACAATTAGAAACATAGTACTATCATTGAAACATAAGGGCCCACCTGCAATAGATGATTGCGCATCCTCCAAACGTTGTAGATTATTGCGAATCTCGCGTCGCTGCCTTCGAAGTTCTGTATGGCAGATATCAACTATCTATTGAGTGCATGATTGAAAGACGACTGATTTGAGCACTCACCTTTCTTCTTGGCCTTCCGAACTATATCAGCAAACTCCTCGTCCTCCAGCCGTTCCTTTTCTTTCTTTGCACAAGACTTTGAATGCGATCCTAACCCGCGCGCACGAACATTCGCCCCACATCGATCACATGTCGCGAGTTCTGATGCCCGTTGCTTTGACTTAGGCATTGATATCAAGTAGCAAACAAGCGACGAACAAGCTGATGGTTCAGTAGATTATTAAAGTGAAAGGCTGTTAGTAATGGAGTACATACCAAAAATCAACTGTTAAAGACAAAACAGACGATGATCAAGGATATGTTTCGTTCGAGTGTAATATAAGATACTTGGCAAAACTGTTGAGCGCAAATGCGATAAGTTTTGGATGGGAAAGAGTCTCGTTCAGACTGACTATAGACTCACAGATAGATAGCAGGAGAGAATTGATTCAGACGAACGGAAGTTGTGGGTATGCGATTTGGTGTACAGGCGATTCAGATTCAAGCCGAATGAAACAAGACAATTGAATCAAGGATGTCGTTTAAAATAAAGAGTATAGATGAAAACAGCACAAAGAATCGGAAACGAAGCGATGTACAGAGCCAGAATTGTTGGGTGGGTTGATGCACGTCCAGGCTATTAGGCCTTAGGCCTTAGGCATAAGTCATCGTACGAGTCATAATCTGAATCAGGATGATATTGAGACTCCGCCTAAAGCATCGTAATTCAGATCACAATGACTTTGCGGGGCATCGTAACACGTGACCATTACAATGCCGGCAAAGAATCTCCGACATCAGTACTTTGCTATTAAGCTCTTCGACATTACTGTTCACTCTGAACGGACGGCATCAACAATCACTTGGCTCAATTCCACATTTGTGCAGCTCGCAAAAGAGTTCTTCCCTAGTTAGTCACGTTCAATTTCGCCAATGGCCCTATCTCACTCACTATATGTTGTAAAACAAGATGCCAATACGAGAACTGACGTGTTCACATTTGGAGGTTGACATCGATGACCACACTCGAAACCTATACGATGTCCCTCCTTCATCCCAGCCCGGTACACTGGCGAGGATAAACCTCAAGAATTCGTCGCTCCGAAAGTTCTTATCTTTTATCAGAAGCATCGTATATCTGGACGATCACTCTCCCAACCACAAAGAGTTCCCTGCAATCATTAAGGAGTTGGAGGATGCGACGGGCATAGATGCACGAGCTCTAATCTGCTTTCGTCCAGGGATGACCAATGCCCGACAGAGACTTCAATGGGTGTCATCTCGCGTCACTAAATTGCAAGAAGACATCGCGTACTCATTGTTTGGTATCTTCGGTATCCGCTACCTGAAATATACAGCGACAAGAAGCAGAACGCGCTCGGGCGGCTCCTGCAGGAGGTTGTGGCTCGGTCGGGCGACATCACTATCCTCGACTGGGTCAGACAACCTTCCGAGTCCAATAGCTGGCTTCTGGTCTATCATTTTTCTCACGCCATTCCTTCACGTACTCTTCCATCTTAGTCCGAAGATCAGGTGCAAACAACCATCTCTTCGCTGCGAAAAACCCCATGGCTGTGGATTTGGCTTCAAAACTTGACGACTGGCTTGATGACACGAGTGCTGTTTGTTTCGCGACCTGCAGACTGCATCTGCCTTGCATGGCATTCCGTGTTACAGAAGTCATTCTGAGCTACATTCCATCCCAGGAGACTCGATGTGAAGTCAAGGCAGACGTGCTTCGTGACCTGTGATCACCACCAAACAGCCAATTGTTCAGTCTCGTGGACAATGTCCACCCAGCAAACCTTTGTATCTTTCCGTTCCTGGGATCGGAGTTATCTGACTTTGCAAATCTGCCCGACGTCGGGGACGATACGGAGAACGAGGGGGATTATTGGACTTCTGCGTCAGAGGACTCACCTAGGAGGTGGATGATGTAGAATCGCGAGTATTGCGGTTCCTTGGTCGCCTTGGGCAGCCTTTCGGCGCACGTTTGCTAGCGCGGCGGAGAATACAAGAGGGCCACGTCAAATTGTGATATCATTGCGCAGCTCAAAGATGTGGCTTCTGTTCGAGACTTGATGAAACGTCAGGACGATAGAAATACTGTAGATGCATGTTTTTCCTCGAAGATTAGGGATCTAAGTGGTTTTCATAAATACTTCGTGTGTATCATACTATATGTATGTGCCTTCAACGTTCAACGACTGGTCCGTATTTTAATATTCCTGGATATATTTTGCAGCCACATCAGGGAATACTAACATGGAAGATGGTATATCCAGATTCCAGGTAGCGGAGGGGAATACTTGTTCGGGATAGACTTAGTCTCATCCGCATTGCTAACATTGGTCTGTCCTATGGGTTGTAAAAAATCAAGTCAGGGTATACCGTAAGATTGAAGCGGCAATGTGCAGGAAGTCAGTGGGAGAGCATGAGGAAGAAGGCCAGCCGGGAGGACAAATATGTCGTGCGGCGGGGAGTGTTGGGAAACTGAGTGAAATGGGTGTGCGTAAAGCCGCGACCGATTTTGCCGAGATAGTAGACGCGTATTGTAACTTGTTAGTGACAAATTGAAGAGAATTTCTAGCTCATAGTACGGCAGTATGCAGCGTGATCTGCTGTGCGAGGATGGAGATGAGGCAGAAAACGTCTCTAATTGGTTATCTGGCCCACCGATAATTCAGTCTTCACTCTAACAGTAAGACAACAAAAATATAATAACTACACCTGTCACCAACAGGGTATCGTATACTATCAGATGGATACAAACCATAATTTAGAGGGTCATGGAGTAGTGCCACGTAGCGCGTACATTCGGGTCAAGGGGATATCTATTTTGAGATTCTTGGCGAGTGGATCATATATCGTATTGATGATGGTAGCTGCGCGTCGAACCATGTACGAAACATACATTCACCTTCCAATACGAGACTGCGACCCTCCACGTAAAATGAGGCGATCAAGGTAAGGAGAAATAGATCGAGCTCCAAGGAAAAATGGTGCGGCGGAGGGGTTTTTATTCGGGTTTCCATTGCCAACTTTAAGCAGTCGCGTTTAATCTTCTGGCAACCCAAAGCATCCCCTGTGAGCCAGCAATCCAGTGGTCTGTCCTTGTTCAGGAGCTTTCCGTCCTCATACTGAAGACAGACCAAGATGAGGACCCAGATGAATGATTCAGCAATGTGCGGATACAGGGGCTCCGCTTTGTCCTCGATGGTTTTCTTTGTGAGAAGGTCCATCGCCATGAATGGTATCATTCCTATGCGCTCGTGGCCGCCAGACCCATTTTCAGGCGATGATAAGTCGCAGTCGTTGATGGCACCCATCACTAAACCGCTCTGGGTCCGGTAAACCATGAGATTACTCGGGTTAACGTCATACTGATGAACGCCGGTGATCCAGAGGATACGATGGTCTGTTTTCGTGGTCAATAGACAATGATGAGCGCAGTAAGGGAGGACACCTACAGATTATCATCATCCACCATACGCGCTTAAACTCTTTCCCGCTCAGCTTCGTGACCGGCTGAAAATTCCAAGATACGTGGATGTTCAAGATGCGTTTGCATCCTACAGGGTCGTCAATCTCTAGCCTTCTTCTGAGTTTTGCTGTGCATGTCTCTTCAACTTGATGGAGCCAGATCATCTCTTGGACGTGACCATCCACCTGTGGCTTGTGCTGTGCAATCTCATGCACCGCATTGAGCATACCAGGGTCACTCTGGCACGAGCCACCTGGCCAGTGGAGCTTGGTGGCCGGTTCGTCGGGGTTATGATGAAGACACCTCGATGACAGACACGATAACATTTCACTTTTCATTGGTAAAACGGTATTCGCACTTCCGCACAGCCCGAGATGAGCCATATGCTTGTTGGACTCTGGATGAGCCGTCCTGAGGGTACCACTCGACGTGGATGGCGGGGAACGATTCAAGCATAGGCTCGAATGTCTGGTTATAAAGGCACTGTGGCGCGTCGTGCATTCGTCGCATAAGCCTAGAAAGCGGTGAATATCCTGAACGAAGTTGATACCCGAACACGGAACGTGTAAGCACTGCTGATCAAAACGAGGACCAGGCGTAATGATGCCTTCTGGCAGCCTGCATTCGCGACGCACTTACACACCTGATATTAACGACAGCAGCCATAATGCATTAGAAAGAGAACCGTTATGGAAGTAAGTGATTGATATTGCGTCTTCTCATCCGGCGTGACGGTTGTATATATTAATCGCGTTGTGTCAATGCTTTCGGCGAGGCTCGTTGGAGCGTAAATGATTAGAAGCACACCTCTTGCAGGCATATTACGTTCGACCCTGAACCAAACGTCAATACAATTGATTGTAGACCAGTTTGTGACGCAGTCATACCAGTTGACAAATTAGAACAGCCCATCAAGATACGTTATCGTGGAAAACGCGTTGGTAATAACACAACTGTTGCGCAGCAAGATATTCCGAAAATAGCGATGCCAAGGGCCGCCTCGCTCTGCCTCGCCTTGTTACCTATGTCTAGAGACATAGTACACACAGCAGTAAAAGCTGGGCATGGTGAACATAAAGTTCGATGCAGGCGCGACGTTAAGCGGCTAATGCTTCGGTTAGTATGGATTGCCTTGAGCAGTGAAAGCGTAAAGGGGTGAGTGTATGCACGTTGACACAAGGCTTTAACTTGGGTGGCCTTGCGTCTGCAAACGTGATTATGGAGTTGGTGCTTGGTTCGCGCTATCGATCGTGAAAACCACTGCTTGGCTTGGGAAGGGGACACGTCGCCGAGCCGTGTTACAACCTCTTGCGGTAACGCAGGACAAAAATGCTTCGGGCGCTCAGCTCTTTTCAGATGGCACGCTGGGTGGCAGCCTTTGTACGGTGAGTTGCACTTCGGCCTAGACACAGCACAATGCAGGACCTTACTAGCGTTCGTCGATGGCGCTGCCGTATGTCGTGATGGAGGGTATGCAGGGTAAAGTGATTCGCTCTCCCCTTCTTCGTTCGCAGCTTTTGACTCCACATTCTAGCCCAGCATTTTCATAAGCTTTGAGCGTCGTCAGTCCTAGTACGTCACCGAGTGACTAGAGGGTTCTAGGTCTACACAGGGCGCAATTTAGCTTGTGCAAGCCAGTACTTTATTCTCGATGAGGGAACTGGTTTGTCATGCCTGTCATCAACATCAATTCGCTCCACGGACGGATTGGGGAAGGAGCGAAACAACAGAAAGCGAACTACGATGATACTCGTGCTCCAACCATCTGCTCTTCAAACGACCCATGTGCATCGCATGTCCGTGTGCCACACCATGCTGCGCTGGTAATCTGGACACTACTACAGCGCTGCCATACAATATATAAGAGAAAAATGTGGGCTTACCAATCAGATCGAAAAAAAATACACAATGCTCCCAAATCACTCCTTCAATTCGCTGGCGTGCAATCTCTGGAGACGCGGCTGCTGACGACAAATAGGATATCCATGATTTTCCTAAGAACGCCGGTTCCCCATCTCGAAAACCTCTACGAATGACCATTTACTCAAAGAGCCCGGACTAAATATTGATCCAGGACCCTCGACCGAGCTGAAGAAAGGGTCACGAGTGGAAAATTAGAGGGTTAGATCTTTGACTTGAGACACGATGGTAAGAGAAAGGTCGTACTGTCCAACGTTGCGTACAATGCCCTAATGGGCATAGATTGGAGTCGAAAACAACAAAAAGAGAAAAGTCGATTGACAAAAAACATGCGTTGGGCCTGGCTAACCGGAACAGACTGGAGGTCCTCGACAAAAATCCACTAGTCACAGGTCCTAGGTCCCTGGACTATGCCCTTGATAGCGGTGACATGAAACTTGGTTCGTATGCATGAATGTGATGTTGGTGGGAGCGTCAGGGTACATAGATGATTAAAAGAATGTTGTGGCATGTTAGCCAGTGAGCCGTTCCTTTTTTTTTTTCACGCACCTAGACCTTGGCGTCGTGTCCGAATGTGGTTCACATGTGCTGTAAAACAATAGATCGCCATTAAAGGTCTCTAAACAAACTTCCGCCAAGTTGGGGATACGCATCTGGCAGAAGGATGTCCAGCATCTTGCAGTGGGTCGCGGAGATAGAAATTCACAGAATCGGAGTGAGTTAATCTTCTCCAGTGAAATGGGAGTTCCTGACTGGTGGAGCTCAATTTCAGCGGGTCATGAATGTGAAGTTCACTTCACCAAGCCCACCATGTATGATGCATCGCGATGTCTTTCCAGCACGTTCCTCGATCCAATACCCGAGTACTTTCGAGACCGTACGTTACTGGCCAACGCGGAAGTGGTGGCACAGAGGGCAGCTCATCGAAGATAAAACCGGATAACGCTGGTGAGCTGAACGAAGCTTCACTGGAGTCGCCATCTCTGTGGTGCTGATTTGCCTTGACATCGAGAGGAGGAAGACCAAACCCGATTTGCATGCTACCCCAAGGAACCAGGCAACCTATATGCTACGTTGCAAGGGGAAACGACACACGTCATGAATGTGAGATAACAATCATATATAGCAGCAAAGCCACGGTACTGCACGGTATGAAATTCGGTTTCGCAGGAGACGCTGTTACTTTCCAGCACTGCAAGTTGGAAAGTTCGTCTCCGATGCTTCGATGTATCGAGTAGTGTCAGAGGTATCGGAGCATTTAATACTTGATGTCATTTGACTCCAATGAAGTCACTTCGGCTGGATATATGTTTTAGATGACAACAATGTGGAACATGTAGCTATTGACCTACCAGGAGTCCAAACACAGCCGCAAAACTTACTACCCCACTTTTAGGACCATCGGCTGGACTCATTGGGAATGCAACATCACAATCTTTTGACGCCTCACGTGCCTTGCGGTGTCGATATGGCCATCTTGTTACGGCCCGCACCCAATAGTAAGACATGATTCTTCTCGACTAGCGGAACGGAACCGCCCTTTCCCCAGCAACCTCGACTTCTGTGACCTGTAATCCTCAGGACGATGAGCGTTGTACATTCGAAGGGAAGAGCTTGCCATTGCATACACGATGTACCGGTTCCTCAAGTGTGGAACATGTCTTTTCTCTGCCATCGGCGCACCGGAGTGACATGAGCAGTGATGTTCAAGGAATCGGTACCCTGGTTGGAGTGCCTTATATGCCAGCTGCATCTCAGGACGAATGTAGACGATGAGGCGTGTAGATGGCGTACTGGTGTGTTCCTATTCTCAGATGACTGGATATAATCCTTCGGTACCGCAGAGACTTCAAAGCCAATCAGATTCTGCTCACCAATCTGGGGACCGCATCAGACAAACTAGAATGACCTGCTCCCCATTGCCTAAACACTGTACCAAATCGTATTGAGTGCAACTCGTCGTCCTGTGAAATAAGTATGACTGGCTTGACATTGAAGGCGGGACAGACAATTGGATCAACACATTCCAAACGCAAGCGGTGGCTTTGTGCGGTGATGTGCCTAGTGCCAACAAAGGTACACTTCGTGTAAGCGAGGAGCGGCAGCCCTTGTGATATTTCTTCATCCTCTGCGGCAAGGTCGTATTATGACCTTTTTTTTCTGGATCAGGAGATTTTTTCCTGGTCGTGAAGTCATGCCAGTGGGTCGTGAAAGACATCGACCGGTCGAATGTGGGTCGTGCAAGATATGGACCGGTCGAATGTGGTACGTGGACGTTGCCTCAGGCTAAAATTATTTTCGTCGCGAAGGGAATCAGACATGCCAAATAACCCATGAAAAGGGATATTTGTCCAATAATCGCTACTGAATTATGTGTACTACCATAGGACGATGGCATGCCCAGGACTCGAGGAACAGCACAGGTGATCAGTGGAAATAAGGGGAATGTCACCTGATTTTTGCGCCAATGGCTCCACCTCGGAGATCAAAACGTTCATTCACGCCACTGAACTGCAAGCTCGGACCTCAACACGCTGACGACTTAGCCCTATCAACTCATGATCTATATGTTTTATGGACCGTCAGTTCCGCTCCTGATGGCTGGTGACTTGCGTGCCTCTGTTGTAAAAAATCAAGAACAGAAAAGTATGGTTGAGAAATGACGTTCTAGTAAGTCTAGAACTTAAGAGCTGCGGCCACTAAAACAATCCCCTCAGCTTCTCTCTTAAACCGTCCACGGTCCCTGAATATTGTATGGAGAAAAACATCGATTCACAACAAACCACAGATACGATTGGATATTCAACGAGAGCGTCATGAGCATTTCAAGCTGATCACGGAGTCCACGATCAAGGCTGGATGTCATCCAAACCGGTTCGTAGCTTGCCTATCTGCGATCACCGTGGAACTGCTAAAATGGAATGCCCGAAAACGAAGGCAAGAATATGCCTCGATGTTCTGATCTGTCGAGAAGCTTCGATAGATAGCATTGGGTCTTCAATCAGCCATCTA